TAATTATAATGTATTATTAAATAAATATAATTTATCATTTAATAAATATATATAATATTATGAGTAAATATTTTAATAAAAAAATTAATCATAGAATAATATATCATATTATAAGTTTAAAGTAATACATAATATTATAATTATATCATTTTTATTATTAAATATATCAATAAAAACTTAATTAAATTAATATTTAATAATTTTATAAACTTTAATTTAAGATCAAATTAAAAAACTCAAGTCTTTACAAAAACAAACAATCATTCTCTCTACATAGAAAAAATTCAAACATGTGAAAAAGAGTATCCCCTAATCCAGTTCGAATCCGCCAATGTAAACCTGTTTAAAAAAATAACAAAAAAACCCGTGAAACAGGTGATTCTAAACGATTAGGAATATTATTTAAGATCTAAGACGTGGAAAGGAGGCTCCACGGTCAGGCAGCCAAACTGAGTTGGTCAAGCCATGGACCCCATTGGTTAGCGTTTAATTAGAATATAGACAAATTTATGAGACTATATAAATGGTTACCCAAAAGAGTACCTGGCGATAATCGGAGGAGAAGAGGCGGGCACCTAAGGAAAGAACTCATCATTCAGACCAGGTATCATTTAAACTTATTGTTTTTTCTTTTTCTTTTTTCATTATATAGTTAAATATTTAGTAATACAGATATTTAAATTTTTAATTTTAATTTTAATTTTAAATTAAAATTTTAAAATTAATAAATACTATTAACTTATTCCTTTTATAAATCAACGTGTAAAAATGATTGGAGTAAATCTGCCCCAAAATAATTTTTTTATTCTTTTATAATAAAAGAATAAGCCCCAAAATAATTTCCACCACTAAATAAATTCATAAGCAAATATCGATAGTAAGTCTGCGGGTGGTATTATTGCCACAGCTTCACAGGTTAACACCACAGCTTTTTTAATTAATTGACCATTAACCCACACGGAGAAGGTGGTGACTGCTGCAAGTTGGATTCAAATGAGGGGTATAATAGTCAAATAATTAAAAAAAGCTGTGGTATTAACAGTAGTGGCTGTGGCAATAACACCACCCTAAGTCTGCCCTTAAACTTACTAACTGTAACTAACCTCATTAATGTGATGAAAATCATTAGAGGTCGTAATTTACCTGTTGAGCATGCAGAAAATTAACCATAAATTAAGATGTTTTAGTATTAAAATTGTCAAAATGTTTAATTACAAAATTATTTAAGTGGGTTATAATTATCATTTAAGTGAGACCTATTTAAGTGAGACCTACTTAAATGATGATTATAATTAAATGTTTTGATAATTTTAATATTAAAATGTCTTAATTTTTATTTTTTTATTTTTTTATTATTTAGATTTTTATTAATAAAAAGATAACATATGTACACATATGCGCACATATATATTTTTGAATAATTTACAATATTAAAAAAAATTTAAAATATTGATGAGATTTTAAATGTTAACCCATTAACTCAAATACCTTAAATTTTAAGGTCAAATTACTTGAATTCAAACGGCCAACTCTATGCACACATATTTAAGCGTTTGTATATACAGTTAGCTTTATCATCTTGCTATATGTGCGTTCCCAATGATGTGGAAGAATCGACATCGTAAGAGGCAATACTTACAACGTCAATGACATATATTGTGATGCATAACTGAGGGGATGATGATGATAATGATTTAATGGCTTTTTATTTTTTTGTTGTTAATTTGGTTTGTTATTTTCTCAAACCAGAGTCTTTCTTCTTTACAATTTTTTTTTTTTATTTCCCTTTTCCCATTCTTAATTTGACATTATTTTTATAAACTACCTGAGAAATAGTCTTTACTCTTATTCTCAACCAAATACAAATATACAACACAGGTGTCTATTGAGCACTTTGAGGCTCTGTAATGTTTTTCATACAAATTTGGCATTATTTGAGGAAATAGACAATATTATGTCCACATTCCCAAATAATAGAATTTATCATTAATTATAATTTAGGTAAGGAAAAGTTGTGTCTTTATAATTTAGCATTTTTCACGAGTTATAAAAATATCAAAACAAACAAATAAACAAAACAAAGCTTAATGAATTTTTCTTGATAATTAGTTTTTCAGTGAACTTTATGAATATAGCCTAGGCTAAAAAAAATTAAAACCATTTCTGATATTTTCAAAAGGAAAAATTTTTTAAAAAGCAGAAAATCTAAATATGAATTTAAGCCAAAAGAGAAAAAAATGAGAAGATAAGGACCGCCCAGAAAGTGGACCAAAATTTATCGCCGGGCAAAAATGGTGGCACAAGCAGCGACAGCAGTCTCCTGCCTTCCTGTCCACAGCTTCTCCTACGTTTCTTTGAATTCGTCTCGGTCCAAAAAATCTTCATCCGTAAAGCTCCCAACACTCCATCTCAAACAGGCAAACCTCAACGCAGACACTTCGCTTCAGTGTCTCCCCAGTTTGCGCAGAGTACAGACCAGAGCTACCCTGGACGAAAGGGACCCAATTGCCTCAGACCCTCCTGCGGTCGAAGAAAAGCTGGCCAACAGAGTATGCTTTCGCTTGAAACCTGTGCTTCCTTTTGCTTTCTTGGTGATTGATTATGATAAAGTGGGAATTGAAGAGACCGTGTTTATTGTTTTGTGGGTTAGGAAGTTGAGCAGAGTGTTAAAGTGTTAAAAAATGCTGCAAAAACGAGAAAAGTACCAGCAGAGGAGGTTCTGTCAGCCATGTCTGTAATTGAGGAGGCCAAACTTGACCCATCTGGGTTTCTGCAAACTCTGGGTGGAACAGAATCCCCTGGTAGAACTTGGATGCTCATTTTCACTGCTGAGGTTCATACTTAGTACAATTCCATCCTTTTCTGGATTACTGTTTGGTTATCATCTAATTTTGATAAGCTAATTGTATCTTGTTATGGGTTGTAGAAGAAATTAAAGGGTGGCCGCTACTTTCCTCTCACAGCTGTTCAGAGGTTTGATGCTGCTGTAAGCTCTTTGATCTCTTGTATTGTTTCTGTTGTGGATGTGATTGTAATCTGAGTTTCTGCTACTAAAAACAAGAATAAAAAGAAAAGGTAGAGGATGATTGGAAAATGAAGGCATGTTTGGGTTGCTTTAGCTGCAATGGCAGATAGAATATGGGGTACTTAAAATAATTAGAGAATGCTTCTCCTTAGGTAATCCTTCATATCTTCTTTTATGAGTATTCTGGACTTGATACTCTTACTCTCTGCAGGCATACATTGACAAAATTGCTTGAAGGTGCTGTTCAGTATTTCATGTTAGCCTTTACCATGGTTATGTTTACCATGACGAATTGATTACTATTCAAGAAATTAAATATGATTTCTTCCTTGACACTGATTTGTAAGTATAAATTGAAATTGGTAATCTTGACTTCATGTTCTCTAGTTATTCGAAACCTAGTGCCTTACTCCTCTTGAAGCAGCTTTTCAGGCCTTGAAAGTGATAATGTTAGGTTGCACCATTGCAGATTCTAAAAAGGCTATAAAACATGCTTTCTTTCTCCCTTTTTATTTCCACCAGTGTTCCTTGTCCAAGAGGAGCTTGCATGCTTAGAATAGCTAAAGTTACATTAGTGTGTGGTATGCTTTTTCTATAATGTGATAATCTCTATGAGGATAAACTTGCTTGTATGTAACCTGTTCGAAAACTAATAACAAAATTTCTATTTATTTTATTGGGGTATAAGCATAGTTGTTCTATTGCCTTTTTGCAACTTCAGAAACTAATTGTTGATGTCTTGAAACGTCAGGCAAGAAGGATTGAAAATGGAGTATATCTTGGGCCCATTGGGTTCTTGACTTTTGAAGGCGGATTTTCATGGAAGAATAGAATTTTGGCCTTCATTTTTGAACGAATTCGCATCAAGATTGGACCTTTTAATCCCTTGGAGATAAATCTTGGGCAAAAAGAAGACAAGGAACCAAGCACCAAAGATCCCTTCTTTATCTGGTTTTACATTGATGAGGAGATAGCTGTTGCTAGAGGCAGAAGTGGGGGCACTGCATTTTGGTGTCGGTGTTGCCGGGTGATTTCCTCTTGATGCATTTGACACATTCAGGATATGCCCCAAGAACATCCCTTCAAAGAATTCTACATATTCTGTATTCATACTGCACATATATTTAGACCTAAATTAGAACAAGATGCATATTGCAAATCGAAATCTTTTTTTTTTTCTGTTCATCTCACTCGGTGATGTTTGAATCTCGTTAGATAGGTATATTGTTGCCATTTTGAGAAACAGGCATTCTCATGGCTGTATAACTTTATGAAGTTTTTAAGAAGGTAAGCTAAGTTCCATTTTAGAACACATGGATGGGAAATTCCATTTCTTTCTTAACCCTCTTCCTGATGCAAAATTGCTATCAAAGAAATGAGGTTTTCAGATCATTTTATCTGTCATGGATCTCTTGATTAGGAAATTTCCAGTAAAAGTTTTATATCATTTACATTTTTTCAATTTAAGAAATAACATTTCTTGGTGTTATAGTTTTTTTTTTAAATCAGCATTGAAGCTATTATAGTATGATCATTTTCCATGTTATCTTTTTACAGCAAATGTATTGGTATATTTACTTCTGCCCTATTTGTTCTGCAAATGCATTCAGGTAAGATTTTTCATTGTTCCCTCTGCCTCCACACTAAGTATAATTTTTATCTTTGATGAACCTGTATTGTATGGATTTCTTCCATCTTGATGCTTGCTTATATTGAGCAAAATCCTTCATGCTCTTACGGTGTTCTGTCAGTAGTTCTGCTTCAAACGCTTCACTTTTTCATCTGAAAAAAGTGAATATCTATATGACGTGATCATTTAATCTTAATTGTAGTTTTAGCCCTTTTTTTCTGGCCAAAAATGCTAGTTGTAACCGATGCAGGGTATTTTTAGTTATAAATGCTTTGTTTGTTCTTTAATTATCTTCCCTGACTTATAGTCTTTCTTTGATTGCATTCTATGTTACCTGCTTTGGAATTCGGGAATAATTTTCCTCTTTTTTGGGCATTGTATCAGCAATAATTAGAAAAATACATATTCTCACTTCAGTATATGCCAGAAAATGACTTGCTTCTGTTGGATTCCCTCTCTCCTCCATGGTTTTACCAAATGGTTGAGTGTGTGGTGGTACTCAGTGAACATTTGTGCATCAAACAACCAGGAAAAATTAATGAACGGTTGTTTAGTTCCATTATGTTTTTCTCCATTACTCTTATCATTCGTACTACAGGAAATAACGGACAAGCCAGACCACTTACTGCATTATTATAAATGCTGATACAACAGCTGTTGAGATGTTGCAGAAAAAAAAAAACTCACAAGAGTCTTTCACACAACGCAAAGAAATCAACACAAGTGATAAGATAATTCACTGCTTTTTGGCCTCCAAGGAACGCAAGTAGCTCAAAGAAGCAGTAAAGTAGTTGACAAGTTTATCTCTTGCAGGACTACATTCTTTGATTAATGGAGTTTCACTGAAGTTCTGGGACCATTCATGAAGCAATGGGAACCTCTCAGCATCAACCAGCTTCATGTCTCCAACTTCTTCCATAACATTGAGATAGAAAGGGATCCAACCAAGTACTAGATCGAGGTAGCCTATCTGTTCACCACTGAAAAACTTCTTCCCTTCAATCTGCTTTTCAAGGAATTTGAATGATTCAATTGCAGATTCTATAGCTTTCTCCTTCTCTTCTCCTTCAGCACAGCAGGCTCCCCATGCACCAAAGATGCACTGGATTTTAGAAATCAAAGGAGGAAAAAGGTTAGAAGCTGAGCAAGTGGCCACAGGTAGATGGATTTGATCTTGGGATTACCAAACACTGTAAGCTTACAACTTAACTGCCCTTTTCCTTTCCCATAGTAAGGGTGTGGATAAATACTAATTATCCATGTAACCTCAATTAAGATAAGGAATTCAAGCACTTCAAACTAGCATGCAATTTAGTTAACGAGAAGGAGGAAAACAATGGAAAGAAAATGCCTGGAGAAATAATTAGAAGTAGATTGAAAGTACCTTCTCATCTGCAAATTTTGCCCAAAAGCGAGCTGTGGCTTTCTCATATGGATCTTCAGGCATCAATGGATTGTCCTTCCAAGTGTCCTCGACATAATCAAGAATGACAAGCGACTCAGGAATGATTTGTCATGGTGGAGGAGCACAGGAACCTTCTTGTAGACAGGATTGTATTTAAGGAGCATGGGACTCTTGTTTCTCAGATCTTCCTCCAAGTACACATGCTCCACACCTTTGAACTTCAAAGCCCATTCAACCCTTAAGCAGAAGAGGCTAGCAGTAGAGCCAATCACCTTCACTTCAGCCATGGTAATACTTGCAGAACCTCAAACTTCAAATTTCTATCTTCTCCTCTCCTGATGAAAAACAAAGTCAAGTACATCAATATTTATAGAATGGATAATTGTAATTCCTTCATTGGTAGGCGACATCTTTGCCCATGGAACTTTGACTTGAAAAGTTCAGAGGTTTGTTTTTGGAATACGATGGTGTTCTGAAACGTAACAGGCACGGAGGATATAATAATCAAAACCTTGTTAAAATAATGAAAAAGAAATGGAATAAATTTCCCGGAGCTTCGAAAAAAAGAATATGGAAAAGATAAGTGAACATAAAGACTTTTGTCGTTAGAAAATTGGCAGGCACGCAATATTTTAATGTAACTTTCATCATTGATGGGTTTTTTCCTTTTTCTTTTCTTTTCTTTTTTTTTTTTAACCTTTTGTGTAGGCGTCAAGTTTATTTTGGATAAACCTAAACATACGAGCAGTGGCAGAGCTAGAGAAAAAATTTCAGGGGGCAAAATGAAACATTAATAAAGAGGTGGATTAAAATTATATAAAATAAATAAAAATAAAAATCAGTACACTATATTAATAAATTTTCAAAAGTTTACGGGGGTCTTGGGACTACAAACGAGGCTGGCTTGTTAGAGACAGATCATCCGTTTTTCCAAGTCAGTCAATAGAAATTGGTTCTCATTTGCCCTCCCAAGAAACCAAGCCTCATCGGCATGGTAGAAATCAGTCTTTTATCCACCGATCAATGTATTCGTTCATAGATAATTGATTAGCGTATTTTATTCATCTCAGGTGTCATATTGAGACTTTTTCTGCAGGCAGCCAAAGAAAAAACGAAACTGACTTTTCTGGAGAAACAACGGAATGAAGCAGAAATACGGGCTGATTTTGAGGTCTGAATTGTTGTGACATCATTGCTTGGGAAAATACGGACCTACGTTTCTTGAACAATTAATGTGATCTCCTTTTCTGTAGTGGAAGTCTCTAATATAATTAGCTGTTATGTATGTTTGTAATAGCAAAATGAAATGTTAATGTTTGGTTTGCCCTTTTGTTATTATTATTATTATTATTTGAATGGTGAATTATAGATAGAATTATTATCATATTTTAAATAGTTAATTTTACATTCTTTTAATATGATTATTTAAAAGTTAAGCTTTGGCCCGTTCAACATAGCAAAATGAAATGTTAAGCTTTGGCCCGTTTGATAATAAATAGTTAAGTTTACCAAAGTCGAACTTAATAATCAGAAACTCAATGACGGAACCCTCGCCGCCAGACCCTCCACCCAAACCGGATGGCTTGCCGCCTCCACCGCTTCCACCACCCCTGGAAACCACTACTTCTGAATCGCACAATCAAGAATATTGAATATTGAATATTGACCCAGATCAAGAATATTGAATATTGACCCAAGTTTCTGATTATTAAGTTCGATTCTGAATATTGAACCGGACAGACCAGCCCATTACAATGGATCGAGACTTGGGTCGACTTTGGTTAACAACTTAACATGTTGGTGCATATATATATATATATATATTATCAAACGGGCCAAAGCTTGATCTGGTTAACAACTTAACATGTTGGTGCATATATATATATATATATATATTATCAAACGGGCCATAGCTTGATCTGGAGTCGACCCAAGTCTCGATCCATTGTAATGGGCTGGTCTGTCCGGTTCAATATTCAGAATCGAATCAATGATCTCGCTCTCGAGTTTTAACTAAGCCGTGTTCGAATGATTTCGAGCATACCTGTTCATGAATAACCCTATCGATTTTATATATTTAAAAAAATTAGTTCTTTAGTTGCTCTTACATGTATCTGAAAGTTGGGTATAAAAAATATTAACATGTTAGTGGATGCCAAAATGCGATGATATGATTCTATCGTATTCCAATACTTTTTAGTACACTAAAAGGTAGTGTGTTTATTTTAGACTTCTTTTGGCCTTAGGCCATTTAAAGTTTAAACCAAGATTTTGAAATGTCAATGAGGGGTATGTAATTTGGATAAATTACTCTTTCTCCTTAAAAAGTGAAGTATTTAGATGTTTAGATGTTTTTGGGGGTTTAGATGTTTTTGAATCATATTTCGTCCATTTGAAAACTAATTTCCTCATTGAGCAATTTTAAAGGCTCAAAAAAATTAATTTTTTTAAGGTGTTTCTCTTCTCAAACTTTAAACATAGTCTCCAAAACATTAAGTTGAAATTTTTTACCATTTAGTATTTAATTGAATTGAGGAGTTAAGTTGCTACTAGTGCCGGGTACGCTCTGACCATTTACTCACCCCAGGCATTGGAGTTGGGCCGGTGTCAGCCCAATTGATCCAAAATAAAATGTTATGACCCATATGTCCTTACTCAAATGTTAAATTTACAGTAGAGACTGTCCCTTACTCCCCCTCAATGCCGCTCTCTTTCTCTCTGTAAATCCATCCATTACGTTCCTCAGTTTCATCTTTCCATAAATCATGTCCAAACCCTAACCTTCTCGAAGAAAATTTTTCCAGCGTTAAACTCCTTTTGTAAATTATCGAAATCAAGCGACGATGTCCGATTTGGATCCATCAAAGAAGGTCGCCGATAGGTATTTGAAGCGCGAGGTGCTCGGTGAAGGTACCTATGGGGTCGTCTACAAAGCAATAGATACTAAGGTAACCGTAACTCTTCTCTCTCGTAGATACTGCTGAAATAGGGGTCAACTGTTATGGAAGCTGTGTGAATTTTGATTTGCTCAAGCAGTTAATGTTTGCTTCTTTGGTTCATTGCAGACTGGGCAGACAGTCGCGATTAAGAAAATTCGGATTGGGAAACAGAAGGAAGGGATCAATTTTACTGCCCTTAGAGAAATTAAGCTGCTCAAAGAGCTTAAAGATCCGAATATAATTGAGTTGATAGAAGCGTTTCCTCACAAGGGCAACTTGCATCTTGTGTTTGAGTTCATGGAGACTGATCTGGAGGCCGTTATTCGAGACAGAAACATAGTCCTTTCACCAGCTGACATAAAATCATACTTTCAGATGACTTTGAAAGGACTTGCTGTTTGCCACAGGAAATGGGTCTTGCACAGGTATTGATTTTTTGTTTGTTGGTCTGGTTGGTCAGGGCTTGCTAAAATTTATCTCACAATATTGCGATGTTTGATTTCCAGGGATATGAAGCCAAATAACTTGTTAATAGGATCTAATGGACAGCTTAAACTAGCAGATTTTGGTTTAGCACGTATATTTGGAAGCCCGGAACGCAATTTTACTCACCAGGTATGCTGCTTCAGTGCTTTCTCTTTCCTGATTGTCATTTTAGGCATGCAGTAAGCTGACTGATTTACATTTTACAATTGGAGTTAAATCCATAATGTCTCTTCTTAAACCTTTGGTTAATGAAATCTATTGAAGCTTTACTATCCGTTGAAAATAGGTCTACCCTGAAGCAGCACTAACTGATCTATGCAACTTTGATTCCCTTTCTTTGTAGTTTCAAGATCTTGTTTTTGCATTTTTGGTTTGATTCTTAACTATAGGGCTCCCATAGGTAACAGTGGCAGCGTTAAACCAAGTAGTTCTTTCTTGTTAGATTCCCCAGTTCTAAGTATCATGGTCAGTTTTCCTTAGTTGTTAGCTGTCAGTTTTGGCTGTCCTGTCCTTTTCCTTGTGGCTTTTAGCTGTCTTGCTTCTTATTACTCTATTTGGAGTGCTCTGTAGCCTTTCCCAATTAGGAATGTGTTAGTCAAGTTCCTTCCCTGTAGGGATTCTAGTACCTGTCCCTGCCTAGTTTAATATTCTGCTTACAATTATATTAAAAACTATTAAAAAAGAAAAAAAAAGTAAAAAAAAAAACTAAAAACATAGAATAAAAATATGAAAACTAGAATATGAATTGGGCCAAAGTCTGGATATCCATTTTATCAAAAAAAAAAAAAAAATCTAGAAAGTAAATGAGAGATCAATCTTCAGAACCATAGATGTCCAGAACTACAATCTGGATTGGGGAATTTCCCTCCAGGATATGATGAATAGATTTTTTGACCTTTTTTTTGTGTTCGGGGTCTTTTGACATCTCTATCTTTGTTTTCTAGATATGATGAATCTATTGGAAGTTACTTTGGACAATTATAATGCTCCCTCGGTCTTGGGATGCTTCTCTTATTTGATTCTTTTTTTAGTGGTTGTTTTAATCTTTAAACTAAGTCATTATATAGAGCTTGGCTTACTTTTCCTCAAACATTGGTTATAGGTCTTTGCTCCTTGGTATAGAGCTCCGGAGTTGCTGTTTGGTACCAAGCAATATGGTGCTGGTGTGGACGTTTGGGCTGCTGCCTGTATTTTTGCAGAACTTCTTCTACGTCGACCATTTCTGCAAGTTAGTATATGCTACGGTAGTTACTATTTCTTTTAAACAAATATTCTGTTATGATAACCTGAAATGTAGCCTTCTGGCAGCTATTGGTTAAGTTGTTATTTGTTAATAGTCATTCTTAGTTATAGTCAGCTTACTTTTTAATGTTAACAGATGGGTTGATGAGAGGATGGTAGATGTAGATTCCAGTCCTATATCTTATATCCTGAGACATGTTTTAGCCTGATTCTAGAAGTTTATTCTCACTGGTAAAAATGGCCTGGGCTTACTTTAACAGTTTAACCTCATTCTTTGGGACAATTCATGTTAATTGGAGTGTTCCTCTTTTACATTAGAAACTGGATTTAGTATCTCGTGCTATTGTTTGAATCATTAGGTTGCCTCTTTTTTTCTTTTAATTTTTTAATTGTTTCTTATCTCCTTCTTGCATTGAGATCTGTCTTGATGCATCTTTACAACCAGACTTTTCTCCACGCATAACTTTATTATATTGACTGAATTATTTATTATTCTGGATAGTCAGTGAGATTCATTTTGCATGCCTTGTTTAGCTGGCATTCATTTGTATATTTTATCATTATTTTGATCCTAGTGTTTAAACATGTTAAACTAGATAGTCATTTTGATGAGCCTATAAGAATTTTAGCGTTGGTAGTCCTTTCTTTTCTACCATCTCTATCTGCTAAGCCAAGATTGTTGCTCTGCTTTGTTATGTATATCTAATTCATTTTTTGGTTCAATATTCAATATCTGACAGGGGACAAGTGACATTGATCAATTAGGAAAAATCTTTGCTGCTTTTGGGACACCAACTCGTTCTCAGTGGTCAGATCTGGAATATCTGCCTGATTATGTGGAATACCAATATGTTCCTGCACAACCATTGCGCTCATTGTTTCCAGGAGTCAGTGATGATGCTCTAGATCTGTTGTCAAAGATGTTTACTTATGACCCCAAAGCAAGGGTTTCTGTGCAGCAAGCATTAGAGCATAGGTATGTAGAACATTCTAATTGGGAATTTGTAGTGACTATTGGTTTCCCCATCCTCATCCTTATTTTCTGTTTAGGTATTTTTCATCTGCACCTGCACCTACAGATCCAGCAAAATTGCCTAGACCTGTGCCTAAGTCTCGGGTTTCAGATTTTAATCCCCATGAGGGTCCTACTGTTCTTTCACCCCCCAGAAAGTCAAGGAGAGTGATGCCAGATCGTGAAGGGTTTGAAGATAGCACATACCATGTGGATAAGATTGATGATCGTGTTCGTGATACAAGACAGGCTGCTGGTGACATTGCAGGAAGGAATGAACAGGTGCCAACGTCAATAGATTTTTCTATATTTGCAGCAAAGCCAATGAGTAGGCCTACAATTAACAGGTAAAGCATACATAAAACATAATCATTTGATGATGTTTTAAAATCCTTGTAAATCAACCAAAAAAGGAACTTGTAATTCCCCAATGGTGGTTAGCTTGAAAAGGCCAAACCCCCAAATAGGGGGGCAGGGATAGATCCACTGCTCAAAAAAGGCAAGGACAAATTGGCCCTCTAAATCATCAATTGAGACAATGGACCCATTATTTAATAGCTGATAGCATCACATGTTAGGAATCCGTTTGCCACCTAAACCTGTCTTTAACTAAAAGCTGACGCGTAATGATGTCAATTGTTAAATAATGGGTCATTTGTCTCAATTGGCGATTTAGAGGGACAATTTGTCCCTTTTTTTTGAGGGGCAGATATATCCTTCCTCCTTATTTGTGGGGCGGATTTGAGGGTTCAGCTGACTTAAATATTAATTTTGGACCATGGATGAAAGTTCTCTTTGTACTTCTTTAAGCCAGATACAAAAGAATATGTCATCCTGTAGAGATTTGTAGGAAAATCTGTGTTTGAGTCAAATTACGACCTTTCTTCTAAAATTTAGTACTATAATTTCCTAACTTTTCCTTTTTAAAATGCTTGTGAGTCCCTTATTTTTCTGCCTTCCTTTAATTGAGACTTCTTCCCTTCTCTCTAGCACAATTGAAACCCTTGCCCCACATTGGAAATTGAAACCTTTCCCCAACATTGCAAAAACTCTAACCAACCCAAACCAACACTTTACCTTGTGAAATCATTGCTCTAGCCTACTCCATTCTATGCATGCATCACTGATCAGATCTGCCACATCATTAACTTTGTTCTTAGTTATCTACAATGGTAAAAGAACTCAACTTGCTGGTAAGAATTGTCCTTTGCTAGTTTTTTGTTTGATGATACATGTTTTATTTATCATTAGTTCCTTGTTAATTGTTAAGTTGCTATTCTTATTAAGTTACTTGTTACTGTTAAGTTGCTTGCTTGTTAATTTCAACTGCATTGCTTTGGTCCTATTTTCTTGCTATTATTATTTATTTTGGTTGCTAACCTGACTGTGCCTCATTAGTGCAATTTTAAGATCTCAATTGTTCTATTTCTTTTTCAAGTTTTAAGCTATCAATTGTTGCATTGATTGACACTGTATTTGTTTATATTTTTTTCAGTCAAGATGACCAAGAAACCAAGTTTCTTTTGAAGTTTTTTTCTTCTTAGTTTTCTTTGATAACCTTTGATTTATAGGGGTCATGATGTCCTATATTGAATTTGAACAACAAATTGTATTACATTGAGAACATTATTTCTCAGATGATTATGGGGGACTAGAACTAGAAGAAATTAGTAATGATGATATCTGTCATAGTGTTATCGAAGTTAAAGGAGGAGAAATGTTGAAAAAAGATGACATTGGTAATTGGATGCTGCCATGTATGATACAATTTCCTTAAGAGGAAGGGCTTGTGGATTTTACGATATGTCAAAGAGAATAGAGTTTAGCTTTCAAGTGCTACAAGGTGGATAAAAAGAGATTGAAAAATATTATGTTTGCTGCAAGGCATGTAAAAATGAATTTATGAGCCTAAATTCTAAATACAGTGTGACCATTCGGTTGTAAGCCTTGAATGTCTCAAACTTGAAAATTTGAGTTTGGATCGTAAAGAAACTTCATCAATGAACATAACCATGAGGATTTTTAGCTCCCAAATAAAGCAAGAAAATTGTGTTGATCATGAAGAACATTTGTTACCAAGGACAGCGTGGATCAATAGAAGATGGTAGGATGTGGATCTTCAAGAATTGCACGATTTTTGAATGTCACTAGTAGTAGTACCTTAAACATCATTTCTAATGATGCTAAAACACTTTAGAAAAAAAAAAAAAGGAGAGCAACATTGGTTGTGGGTGTATTACAGTTATGGTACAGTTGCTAGTGATGACTTTCTAGATCAAAATCTCTACCTTATTATGGAGCTGGACAAAGATGGTTTTATAGGAACCTGTTTTGTAAGGATGGGAGGCAGAGCAATATATCAATATATAGGTGGTGATGTTGTTTGATGTGACATGCAAGACCAATTGATTCCTTCTATTATTTTGCTCCATTTCACTTGTGTGAACCATCATGGACAGTAGACATTGTTTAGATGTGCCCCTTTCATCAAATAAGTAAGAATGTACTTTTGTGTGGTTGTTTGAATAGTGCTACTGCATATGAGTAAAGCATTGTGTACAATCATCAACCAAGACTTGACATTACTAACACACCACACCACAGGTTTTGCATTTGCCATGTCCTGCTTAATGAGGACAATCACCCCTTCATTAGTCCATGCACTTGTGACCAATGTTGCTCTCCTTTTAATTTTCCCTCAAGAATTATTGATATTGTTTGGGGGTGATATTTAAGATATTGTTACTTGTAAGATTTAGGAGTTGTATAATTTTTAAAGGCCCTTATCCTGTTATCTTATTTTGATTGATTAGCTCCCTTATCTGTAGTAACAAATATTCTTTGTTATAAGAGCACACTTTGCATGCTTTGGGAACTAAATGTCTTGCGGTTAAAGTTATTTATACAAATTTGTTTTTTCAAGTTACTAAACATTCGAGCCTTACAACCTATATAGTCTGCATGGGCATATTTCATTTTGAATTTAGGCTCATAGATTCTCTTTTTTACCCACCTTGTAGCAAACATTATATTTTTAATCAACAAGTTCCAAGTGGGTTTGATCTCTTTGTTGATTCTGTTCGAGTACTGAGGTCCTGTTTAGTAATGTTGTTGTTTAAGGGATTTATATATATATATATATATATAGTAAATAATAGTATATGGGAAAGATGTTTAATAGCTGACCTGCAAAAAATGAGGCTGAAAAACATTTCAAAACTATGTCGTTTTAATAAAGGATCAGGAGAGAAAAGATCAAAACAGTATCATTCTTGCTTTAGAAATAGGTTATCTTAGTATTTTTTTAATGAGAGTTTATTAAAACAATGTAGTTTTGAAGTGTCTTTTCTCCTAATTTTTCATAGTTCCGGTTGATAAACATTTTTTTCCATTTTTTTATGAGATTGTGGACTTTATTTATAAGAGAAAAGATTACATGCACATATCTCTCATAAATGACTAAAGATTTTGAGAAGTTAAGACTTGCCTGCACTAGTAGTAGAAGTAGTAGAAGATTTTGTACATGCTGTATGTGACAAAGAAATGGGATAAAGAGGGTTTTCCTAGTCAGTGGCTCACTGTTGTGTTCTGGATACCATACTTGCAAAGTGGAACACAGAAATGGTAATTGTTGAAGATTCTCTGTCCTTTGTGATAGATGTTAGTGGGAAGAAAGGTAGTTTAGTTTCAGCTTTGTTACATAGAATATTTTAAGAAACTTAAATGTTTAGTTTGAATAGATTTTTTTTTTTTTTGGTATGTGTGATGATAGTTTGGCTAAATGTGCAAATTACCCCCAAAATTGTTGTGTTGAAGCAAATCACCACCCAAAAAAAATGTTGACGCAATTCACCACCCCAAATTTCCATTTTTAAAAAATCGGCCCAAATTTAATGTTTGGTGTTAAACTCCATTAAATTATTGTTCTTGAAGTATTATAGAGATTTAACAGAAATCGTTAAATTTGGGCTGATGTCTTGAAAACGGAATTTTGGGGTGGTAAATTGTGTCAATTTTTTTGGGTGGCAATTTGCTTCAATGCAATAATTTTAGGGGGGAATTTGCACCTTTTGACTGATAGTTTATATAAAAATGAGATGGTTGTCGCCTTTGCAAACACCTCCCACCCATACTAGGATTCAAACTTGACACCTCCAGTATGGAGGCTCAAGCTCTTAATCACTGTCATGCCCCTATTGAACTTAGTTTGAAATTTGAGTAGATATTCTTGTACTAAATGTCCAAGTTTGATTTCCTTTCAATATTCTTGTGCAGTGCTGACAGATCACATCTGAAAAGAAAACTAGATCTTGAATTTCAACACAATGAATGAAGGAATCTCCATATTTAGACCCAAGTATCAATTCAAGAGATCCATTTTAGCTTGGCAGGCATATGAAGGTATGCATTGTCCTTTGGAGTGTATTAATCATTTGGGAGTCTGGATTCTATTTCTTCTTTCTGCATCTGATTGGCCTTCTTTTTGCTGTATTCTGCCCTTATATCATGTGAGTGCAGTTAGTGGCAAAACTGGAAAACTTTTTCTTTTTCTTTCTATTTTTTTGG